TTTCGCCATTTTGTGGGCGTGGCAGTGGGCCGATTTTGCCCATCTTCGAACTTAACCTTCTTATGGAGCCAGGAAATACGTGTACCAAGTTTCATTATGATATCACAATTTTTACTCAAGTTACAGCTTGACGGACGGACGGACAGACGGACAGACAGACATCCGGATTTCAACTCTACTCGTCACCCTGATCACTTTGGTATATATAACCCTATATCTGACTCTTTTAGTTTTAGGACTTACAAACAACTACTAAATTTTACGGAAGAAATGGCAGAAAGAAGCTGCACCCAGGCTTTTTTTAAAAATTGAAAATGGGTGCGGCATCGCCCACTTATGGACCAAAACCATATCTCAAATTCGGTATATAATATTTTCTTAACACCCTGATGATATGTACGAAATATGGGTGAAATCGGTTCACAACTACGCCTTCTTCCAATATAACGCTATTTGAATTCCATCTGATGCCTTCTCTATATAATATATACATTAGGAACCAATGATGATTGTAGAAAATGTTCGTGATCGGAATATAACTTTTCAATACAATTAAAATAAATGAAAATACAATTCAATACTCAAAGTACACAAATTGATCTAATCTAATTAGTTTTAGAGCAAAATAAAAAAATATGTAAATGACGGATAATGAAATCTCGATTATCACTTTGTCATGCGAGAGTATAAAATGTTCGGTGACACCCGAACTTAGCCCTTCCTTACTTGTTGTTGAATAATTTCACTCATCGTAAAAATCGCCTAATGCACTTTATGTACTACAGAAAGACAAATGTATACTAATGATTATTTTGAGGGAGCATTTGGCACAGATGCCACTGGCAGTCTTACCAACAGTGAAAAAATATTTCGACGAATATGTTTTCTTGAAAAATTTAAATTAAAAGTCTTACTATTTTTTGCCCGCAGCAGTATATCCCCGTTCTAAGACTACCCCGAGACTAAGACTAGTACTGACCCGATTTTTACCATTTTTTAGCATCCTGACATATTATTAACAGAAACACATCACATATTAACTTCTTTGGCACCAGAGCACATTATCACCAAGCATAGACGTTCTCCAAGTTTCATTGTTATACCTCACAGATTTGCCGATATTTTCGTCAAAAAGTCACACATAGGCACTCAGATCAAAGTATAAGTTATAATCTCATTTGAGAATTTCCAGACTTCAGACGTCATACCTTTGTGAAAAGTTGTATCCCGAGTTAGATTGAATATAAAATTGCTTTGTATGGTAGGAAAGCGTGGCTGTAGTTCTTTTTCGTCAATTATCACACTGTAACCTGAAGATGTCAGAAAAATTGTATATGGGAAGTGGGCGCGATTATCCTCCGATGTCATGTTTACACTATTTGAGGTAGCAGAGGTTTTGTTCCTTGTCAGTCCATCAATCTTAATAATTCTCAATTTTTATTTTTCTTTAATTAGTCTCAATGAATTTTATTGTTCTCTATAATGTTTGATATTACTTGACAATAATCGGCTTCGTTATAAAAGTATACTTGTTACATTTTCACCTCAACCGCAATTTTAACTCACCGACATCACATTCAGATAAACTACATCACCTCAACATTATTACTTAATTATCAAACGAATGTTGCTAGAAAGTTTTGAAAAAAAAAAATTGATCAATTGGTGAAAGGTCTATAATTTATACTATTTTTTCAAATAATTATAAAATTATGCAAGCTTTTATGCTTTGGTATTTACACAATTTTCATAAATACGCATAATTTAATATTTTTTCTTTCTGTAAAAATTTTCACACTGCACAGAAACAATCTCTTCAAACCACATTAAAATACTGGTTTAAATATTACCATTTATTAAAAAAGTGTTGAAAATTCAATACATTTCTACTTAAAATACTTTATCAGCTTTGCAAGACAATAATACCAAATATATGTCGCTGAAATTGGTTTGAAAATGCCACTTCCTAAATACGCCACCCCCAAACCGAGGTAGTGGCCCACTCATTATATTTTACATATATCGAGTTTCCCGCGCAATGAAGTTCATAACCATATCTTACGTATGCGTACAAACAATATACATATGTATATATAGTATTCATGTGCATAAATAGTAGCACGACAATTTTACATGCAGTTGCTCACCTGCTTTCAAAACTTGTGTCATTTTCTGATGAACAGGAAGAAAATAATCAACTCTTCCCGAAGTGTAAGCGCAGAAAGCGCGCAATTAATGTTATTATGATTATTGCATGTGAAAGTGCCTTGGATATAAGCTGCTATTATTGTTGTATTGATTTTCTTCATTTTCCTCGCTTTCTGAAAAAATGTCCGTCAATTGTTCAACACGGTATAAGAGAACGAGTTTCAAAACGAACCGCACTAATGACTGTATTGAACCTGAAAATATTATCTAACGAATGTCAAAACGCTATTTTTACACTCTTCAATCATTTCGCATACATGTATAATAATATGGGAGTCCACATGTACATATGTATGTAACATACAGTGATTTGCAGGAAGTTTCAACTGTGTAAAATTCATCATTGAAAAAAACAAAATAAAATAAAATCATTTTAAAACAGAGTTTTTTTTAGTAATATTTTTTTACATTATAAACTTTTAGAAGCATAATTTGAGTAGAAATATAAAAATATAATAAAAAATGCGTAAATGCTTATATCAAAAGAATCTGGTGGCTATTACTTGACTTCAATCCGACGAATTTTTACTCTGACAATAATAATTTTAAATTCTACTAGGAAAAAATATTCTGTTTTATATCTTTAATTTCGTAAAACCGACTGATCCATTCGAGTAGTGGAAACTGTCTACTAGAAACTGGTAGATCTACTTCCTCTCCGATAACAAAATAATACAAAAGAGAGTTTTTCAGATAGACGATCGTCTGCTGTTCGTATACTTTTTCCATACTGAGATGTAAGTTTAATTTAAAAAAAGCAACTACAATTTTTAGTAACACGAAGAACCTTACCTACGCAAATCTCTTCGCCAAAAATATTTAAAAAAATTAAAATTTCCTTATTCTGAAACTCGCAACCATGCTTGAGTATAACATATTTGTTAAATCCAAATTAAAATATCTTGAATTAGAATTTATTCCAAACTAAAACAGCCATATTTTAATTTTTATTCCCAAATCAGAATTAATTTTTTTTTAATTAGTAACTTGAGAATTTATTTCAAATTAAAAAATGCAATTTTCAATTTTTATTCCCAAAATCAGAATTAAAATTTGTTAATTATTAACTTGAAATTACCACTTTTCCTTATTCACAACGGTATTTAGATTTAAAATTTCATTTTTAATTAAAATCCAAATTTTGAGGTAAAATTTTTTATTAATTTTTTAATACGCTTTCTGAAATTAAAAAATTAATTACTAAATAAAATTAATTATTGCAAAATTAAAAATAATTAATTAATACAATTAATAATTATTAATCAATGGAACATAAATGTGCAATCACAGAAAAAATAAAAATAATTTTTTAATAACAAAAATCTATTAAAATTTAAACAACAAAATTTTAATTTTTTATTCCCAAAATAAAAATTAATTTTATTTTTAATTATTAATTCGAAATCAGCAGTTTTTTATTCACACTAATATTTAGATCAAAATGCAATTTTTAATTGAAATCCGAATTTTGAAATCAAAATTTTGCTATTTATTTTTTAATAACGGGGTTTGGGATTAAAGTTTTTATTTAATGTATTAATTAGTACTAATACCCTAACCACCGTATTAAAAAATAGATAAAAAAAATTTTAATTAAAAACTCCGATTACAGTTAAAAATGAAATTTTATTAAAATTATATTTAATTAATTAATTATAATAATTTAAATACCAAAAATCGTACTTAATTATTATTAATTAAATAATTAGAAATAGTTTTTAACCACAAAAAAACTTAATAAAAATATTACAAAATTATAATTTTAAAACTCAAAGAATAATTTTTTAATCCGACAGATTATTTTTTAATTTTAAGTCTCATGATTTCAGGTACAAAATCATCATTTATTGCTAAAAACTATTAGTTTTCATTAAAATGTCGATATTTTAGCTTAAATATCAAATCCTTTTATAAACATATTTTATAAATTCCGTAAACACATACATACAGATTTTTCTGATTCATAACTTTTATCTTTGCTACTAAAGTCATCAGAGCAATAACAATTGAATTACAGGGCTGTATTCAATTAATATTTCACAACGGAACTGAAATCCACACAAATTTATCAACGCTTTCCCGGCTTCTACCAAGCCAATGTTTATGTTGCAGTTGTTGGGAAAACATTTCACGGTGCAGTGACGTCGAAACAAGCCCCCAGCAGAAAATTAGGTAATCTGGTAGACAGCATTTGCGATTACTTGTCCGACAGCTCGAACGTAAACACCTGCAACCAAACGCTTGCAACGTCACATAAACACACAAAAATACAGTAGCACTTGTTGCCTGTTGCCCGCGGCAGCTGCTTGAATTTCGCATTTGTGGCAGAAACAAAAGTGAAAATGAAAACATTTCGATAACTTTTCGCTGCTGCGTGTAAACTTTAAGATTTTCATATTTAAAGCGAGAAGCAGCTACAACCTTGTGGCACTAACGTTTGAGCCGCGTTGCAAGTAACAATACGGTATTGCTGTTAACAGAAATTCGAAGTTGCTGCACTAAACATCACAATCACTGTCTGCTTTAGCCAAATCGCCAAACGCCAGCTGCCAACCGTCAAAGCCGACAAACAACACCAAATAGGCAAGCGCTGTCACGCAACTGACAGCGTGCAACATATCAATCAGTGCGTGGAGGCAAAGGCAAGCAAGTTCAGTGGCTCGATACACGCCTTTTCAATTCGCCATTCGTCACATTTGTTCCGGCGTTTATCCGCCTATCAAGTGTTGTAACAACTGTTGTTGTTGTTTTTGTGTGTTGCTATTGTTGTAGTCATCTGCGTTGCTGTCATCATGTTGCTGCATTCGAACGGTGTAAGTGTTGCTTTTGTTGTTATTGTGCGGCGGCAGTTGTAAATGAAAGTGTATGTGTGTGTGTGTGTGCGTGCAACAGCAAGCAATCAACTAAAACGCCACGGGTGTAACGATCGAACAATAAGAAAGAAGAAAAGATAGCAAAACAATAGAAAATCATAACAGCAATCAGCAGCGTAAATTACGGGACACTAATTCGTGACGGTGATGCCGACTGCTGATCGGCAAGTGTAAAGAAAAACAACTCGCGGACATACTCTAGCTGTAATGACTTGCACACACACACATGCGCACATGTGCTATATGAAAGTGCCAGATAATTGAGTAAGAAACAAGTAAGGAAGAAGTAACTTCAGGTAAAACCGAACATTTTCTACTCTTGCAACTTGCAAGGATGAAAGCTAGGGAAGTAGCTTCAGGTACATAAGGCCTGTCAGTTATATGAGTTAATGGAGATATTTTATTGACCTTGTTTTCACGGACGGACAGACAGACAGTCACCCGGACTTTGACTCGCCTCAACATCCTGATCATTTATATATTGGGTAGTCGAAAAAATCTTTGCGTATTTCTAATTAAACTTCGAATTATTTTTATTTATATTTAAAATGAACCAAATATGTACCATTTTGTCGACCACTTTTTGCCATTTTTCCGCTAAGGACGTCATTCCATCAGTGTAAAACTTTTATCAGTGTAAATCGCATTTTCGAAATTTCCAGAATGAAAGCGAGCGAACACTTGTTGGGCTACACGAACTTATGCAGAATCGTCTCCATATACTTCACAAATTTGATAGGAGGCTTGCGCGGAATTCTGCCCTTCTTTATACAAAAATTTCAAAATATAACAAATTTCTTCATTATTTTCACTCATTCGTGTTCATACGACTGCAACGACATCTATTGACAAAATACGAAAAGACTTTTTCGACTACCAATATGTATATAATTATATTATGTATTCAACCGTTAGGTGAACTAAACTTTTATACTCCGTGCCAATATGTTGCAAGAGTATAAAATAATGCGAACACAATGGGCATGCAAAATCGCAATTTCAGGCATTGTTGACCGCGATCTCGAAGAAAGTGCAAATGGCGCAAATGTTATTACGCGCGGCAATTGTCTGGAAAACAGATCAGCGGAAGTGATGCAATTGTTTCAAGTTATATAAGCAAATGTGTGCCTGACTTTGTTATTATTATTGTTTGTTGGAATTATGTAATGATGTACAAAATATACCTGAGTCTCAGCAATTTTTTTTTCAGACCAGCAGTTCTGAGAGCAAACAAAATCAAAGGCGACAAGATCCGGAGAATAAGAACTAATTCGATAAAAAAATTTCCATAGCTTTCATTGATTTTTGACACGGTGCATTGTCGGCTTATGAGCTTGCGCAGCACCAACTTTGTAAAGCGCTTTCTTATACCGAAATATTCATTCGAATAATTTTATTTTTTTCAAGCAATCTTCTTCAGCCTCCACTGAGTTCACCTTCTCTAACCTACTCCCAACTCTTGTTTGCTTTGAAAACTACAATTTTTAATAAATGCTAATGAACTTACAGTGTGGAACATAAATCCTAGTTTTATACTCTCGCAACAAAGTTGCTAAAGAGAGTATTATAGTTTTGTTCACATAACGGTTGTTTGTAAGTTATAAAACTAAAAGAGTCAGATATAGAATTATATATACCAAAGTGATCAGGGTGACGAGTAGAGTTGAAATCCGTATGTCTGTCTGTCCGTCCGTCCGTC